AAAAGGCCACGTCCGGGCACAGTAAGTGTCGTAAATCTGCGACTGGCCCGCTCCATGAGGATATGCCAATTCCTGTTCGCAAGTCGATACTGCTGATGTATTTTGCGAGGATATGACGGGTTCTTGGAATGGGATATGCGTCGGGCTCTGAGCGCTTGCTTAGCTAGGCCTAGTCACTGCACATTCTTCTGTACATTATTTTTGCGTACCAGCACCAGGGTGCACTGTACGCGCGATCGGAACGCTCAATGCTGCCTTTTGCCAGTAATTTGTCTATTTCGAGGTCAATCACTGTCTGCATCGCCGGACTCATCGCATAATATCGCTGTTTGATGGGCCTGTCATTCTTCGTGCGAATCGTGGGTGTCGCCACCAATGAAACGCCTACGAAGTTTTCAAAACGCGGAAACTTTTCGTGAAGAAATCAGCTTGTTCCTCTGTCATCGCTGACGGAGCCCCAGTGGGCCTGCTGCCACTATTGCTGCATATCGTACCCTTCGGCACTCCTGACGCCTTCTCCGCCGTCGTCGCTCACATCTTGTACTTCCAGCGCGAGCTCGGTTTCGCAACCTCCTCGCTCCTCATCTTCTCGCAAATTGTTCTTTGCGAACCACCGACACCTGCACCGTCCGCACATTTTCAACGTCCGGTGCTCTCAAGCATCGCGCCAGGGCTAGGCTTGATAAGCTGCGAGTGGCTACGGTGTCCACTAAGGCATCGAGGATGAGACCATCGCGTCCACCCTCAACACCATCGCTAGCGCAATCCCAGCAGTAGAGTCGTTGGGGATTTGGGCAACTTCCAAAGTCGTGTCCAGTCATACCGCAGTGCCCACATGGCAGTCTTTGGTGTGCCGGCGCACTGTGTTTCCTGCGCATGTGTCACCTGCGTCGCCTGCGAAGAAACAAAGCTGTGTCTGGCGTGATGTGGCCTCGCCTCGTTGGCATCGACCGGTACTACGCCCAACTTCTCCAGTTCCGTCGCCTGCTGATTAAATTATCCCGATGTTGATCACTGGTCAGTTGTTTTTTAGATGAGCCTCAGCTGCTCCTTCACAGACATCGAGCATAAGCTCCGACATCTATTGGACATTGGACGCAATGGTCTCCGACTCGCCCTGGAAGCGTCGTCCTGCGTTCCGTCGCCACTGCTCTACATGAGGAGCTGTCGGGTCCGCTTGCATTAGTTCCACGCGGAATTCGGCCCACAGCTGGGTCGGGTTTCGCCTCGTGCGGTCTCACTTACGTGCAGCGCCCTCTAGGATTTACGGTGTGGCCGATATTGCTGGACAGGTCATCGGAGCCATCGCCGGTGTAAAAAGGGTCGTTACTATTGCCGTGGCCACTGTCTGGTTCGTGGTTGCGCATGACCAGTGGTGGTGTGGGTGGTGGCAGCGGTCACAGGCACTGGCGCAGCCACAGCCGCTGCCCCTGCACGGTCGGCGTTGTTGTTGGTGCCGTGGCTTCCGCAGGTGGTAGACACAGGCTGGGCGAACATTCCTGTTCTTCCTCCTCTCGCTTAGGGACGTCCAGCAGTACCTTTGGTGGCCATACCACCACTCAGCGGGCGTGGCTTTAAGTACTCGTAACGGGCAGCTAACAGTTCCAGGCGTGGTTGGTACTCTGGCATCAATGTCTTAACGAACGTGACCAGACACGACCTAAAGGTGTCCACGGTGCCGGAGTCAATAATGCCAAATTTTCGCAGCACCTGAATTAGCTCCGCCTTTTTCAACAGTCGCCTAACCTTGCTTCTAGCGTTTCAACTCACCGCGTTGTTGCAGTTGACCTCACTTTATTCCATTGTGTCTTAACTCTACGCCTATTCCTTCCTCTTCTTGCAACAACACCATGCGATGGTCACCAGGGTGCGTTACAATGTATGTACAATTATGTTATGGGCTAAATCTGCAGGCCGATTCATAATAATAAAACAAGAAGGGAATGCTAAAGACGAGCAGGCTCAACTCTTAAATACCCTGTGCCTGTCACCAAAAATTACAAATTATTCAATACATATAAACAAAAGTGGAGAGTGTTCATGTACAGTTTTAACAGTATACATTTACATCAGAATCGTGTCCCTGCGTGTTTATATGCGTGTATGTATGTATGCAGCACAAATTTGAACCAAAGCAGCTACAACAACAGCTGCGGGCAGAGTGTGTATCAGGAAAAAAACACAAACTCGTCCTTTCTCGGACTTAGGACAATGGTTATTCTATATATAGACAGACGGGCAAAAAAAATATTAGCGAAACACAGCATCAAGTGGGCTCATGTTCTTCTTTTTGCTTCTGCTCTGGGCGTATATAACTCATGAGTCTGGGTACAGAGAATTTCATTGTCAGGCTTGCTCGACTGTACTCTTTATTTCAGATCTGCACTATTTTGGGCAATTATTAAATTTTATGAGAACTCTTTTTTTTATATATTGTGTTATAAGTACCTGTACCTGTTCCTGTACCCAGAGGGTAAAAGGCTATACTAGTTTTGTGCGAATGTATGTAACACACAGAAGGCGGCGTCGCAGACCCCACAAAGTATATATATTCTTGATCAGGGTGACAAGCCGAGTCGATATAGCCATGTCCGTCTGTCCGTCCGTCCGTCTGTATGAGCGCAAGGATCTCAGAAGGTACAAGAGCTAGAATAACCAAACTCGGTATCCAGATTCCCATAAGCCCTAGGCAGGTCAACATCCCGTTAGTGATTATGTGTCTGTCTGCCAAGTTTCATCATGATAGGTCAATTCTGAAGAAAGTTATAGCCATAAATAAAATCGCTGCCCATGCTCTGCTTGTAGCGCTGCCCGCAGCGCTGCTCGCAGCTGTTGCTGCTGGGGTTCAACCTTGTGCTGCATACATACACGCATATAAACACGCCGAGACACGATTCTGATGTAAATGTATGCTGTTGAAACTTTACATGAACATGTATTTAATTTAATTAAATAAAATAATTTGTTTAATTATTTAAACAATTTTTTTTTTTTCATTTTTTCCTTTTTGGTGGGAGGTACAGGGTATTTGAGCTTGCTCGACTTTAGAATTCTTTTCTTGTTTTCTGATACACCCCCCACTCCCCCGCAGTTCATGTTTGGGGCAATACATATAGTTAGTTATTATGTGTCCGTTTGTTAAGTTTCATCATGATTGGTTATTTCTGAAGAAAGTTATAGCCATAAATAAAATTGCTGCCCATGCGCTGCATGTAGCTCTGTAGCCCGTAGCGCTGCCGGCAGCTGTTGTTGCTGCTTTAGTTAAACTTTGTGCTGCATACATTCACGCATATAAACACGCAGGCACACGATTCTGATGATAATGTATGCTGGTGAAACTGTACATGAACATTTTTTTTCTTCGTATTTTATTTAAAACTGTCCATCATGGACAATCATTAAATTTGATAAAGATAAACTTCTCAGTTTATTATTTCATTTAGAGTGTAGTTGTAGTATCCGGCTAGTCCCTGGGGAGGTCCAGAGGATGGGTCCTGAGCAGCCTCCTGGTCCGTTCGCTGTTGTCCAGCAAGTTCATCGCCAAGTTGTTGGGGTGGTCATGTAGCCTCTGCATGTACCGCTTGCTGATTTTCTTAACTTCGTCCTTCACCCAAGGGAAGCTGAGGACTTCATGAATAGTGTCGTTGTCGTGCAGAGGATGAGCGTTGGTGGCGATGCGGAGAGCTTTGTTCTCGAATGTCTGTATAATTCGGACATTAGTTTTACAGGCGGTGCCCCACAATTGGATACCGTATGAACATGTCTCCACTTTTGTATGTATGTACTGAATAATTTGTATTTAATTTAAATAAATAATTTAATTAATATAATTTTAAAATTTTTTTTTTTTCGTTTTTTCCTTTTTGGTGGGAGGTACAGGGTATTTAAGAGTTGAACTCGCTCAAGTTTAGCATTCCTTTCTTGTTGTAATCTTGCTCCTTGCATTGAAACACATATGCGATTATTTTTTTTTTTTTTTTTTTTTGATTAACAGTTGATTTAAATTTTCAAGCTGTCCTAACGGACAATCAGCAAATTATACTGGAGGAACATTGGCATTATGATTTTGTATTATGTGTGGCTTTGTGGAGAGATGGAATGAAAAGTTTAGATTGTGCGATGAGGAAGGTCAAGCGGGTGGTATCTTCTCAGACGACGGGTGGAGTTGCTGTTGTTAAGCAGGTTAATGGCGAGGGGATTGGTGTGCCTGTCCAGTCGCTCTATGTGGGCTCTGCTCAGCCTGGTAATCTCCTCGTGAACCCAAGGGACACCGAGTTCGTTCTGAATCTCCACGGTTGAGTGGAATGGGTGCGCATTGGAGATGGTTCTGAGCGCTTTGTTTTGAAATTTTTGAATGATATTACAGTTGGTTCGGCAGGCAGTGCCCCAGATCGGAATCCCATAGGTCCACATGGGTTTCATTATAGCCTTATAAATTATATGCGAGCTTGACTGACTTTAGATGCATACACTGATCCATGGCGTAAATGTATTGGAAAAACGTTAGCCGTTGCAGGTATTGCCTTTCTTGTTACTAGTGTTGTGGTTAGAACAACTAGAACCAGGCTTCATAAGCTAGGCGCGTTCTGCAAACTTCTTGTTCGAGTTATACCATTTGTTCATGTAAGCCACAGAGGCTTACTGCTGCTTGATGACATTTCTTAAGGATTATTTGCGTGCCTTCATCAAAAAATGCAGAAGTGTCAAATAAAAACTGTTCGTGTTAATTCGAATTAGTATGAAAGTACCGAAATGGGATTGTTCCGTCTGCTGCGTAACAGCTTAAAAAAATTGGCTTTTAACTTTATTGTTCTTGGCTTATAAAATTAACGAAGTTTGAAATAAAGCAGAGATATTCCCAAAAAAGTATAAATGCTTTTTACTTTAGATATCATAAATATTCGTATATCTGTCTTAAAATATATTTGTTAATCTGTGGATATACGTTACGGCTTGTAGACTCCAGGCCCAACAAGGTGAATTATTTGAAAAGAGCTTACCTCCTCACAAAGAGCCAGCATCCGCCGAGTGCTTTCCAACGACTGAAAAAAAAATGGAAATGGTTAATTTAATTAAAATACGTTTTAGTAATTAGCTCAAATTGTCACATTGATCGCCGCACGTGGCGTGCTGGGCAATGCTGAAATAAAGTGTTGCGTAAGCGAGGTTGGTGAGCTGAGTTCATTGAGGGAGGGGGTTGTTGGGCTCGAAGCAAAGCTCCCTTTGCAGCTGTCGCAAATGTTGCTTGCGATGTGAGAGTGCACGGTGTCCCTCATGTTGATAGAGAAAACGTACGTGCCCCCTATATTTCGCCACCATGCAACACTTCCGCCGAGAATATTGAAAATTTTAATTTTTTTTTTTTTAATAATTAAAGTTTTAAGTAAGGAAAAAAAGAACGGTATACTATACATATACAATGCGTAAGTAAGTACATCAGCCAAATATATTTGCTTCTGGTTTTGTTTTTGTTAACTTTAAGCAACTTTTTTGTTTTCTATTTTTATCACCTTTGTATGCACTGTCACTAACAAAGAGATAACAATATACCGTAACAATATACCGTAGCAATATACCGTTATATGGTGTTTACTATTTTCTTTTAAATCGAAAAGGGTCCTTAATTTTTGCGTCATAAGGTTAGCACACGCAAATGGTTTTTCATTTATCTTCAGAACTTGACCAGGTATGGAAAGTAAATTTTTTTACTGCTCAAGTGATCTATTTTCTTTAAAAAGCGTTATAGGTTGAAGAGCATACAACGAAGCTTTTGAAGATTTAAAGCTTAGTTTAATAGAAATGAGCGAAAACTAATAAAATCAGGGGTGTGCCATGTCATGTGTGTATGTCACCTCAACACACAGATTTAGGTAAAGTAAAATGGACGAGTTTAGATATTTGTTTGTTAATTCTAATGTACATAGATATAGTTTGTGTGTGAAACGTGGTTTGTCTCTTGTCTTAATGATGAAAAGTAGGGAAGCTCAAGTCGGGTGCCCCGACTTTGAAATATTCTGTACATATGTTTAGAATATGTACAGAAATTAAAAAAATTAAGAAAATTAAAAAAAAAATTTGTGATCGATTTTACTTCTCTCGGTATTCGAACTCACGTAAAGGGTGTATAGTTGCACATTTATATAGCAATTGCGTCTATGTGAATGTATGTATGTTTATGCGCGTCTATTCGTGTCTGTGTTAGCACGTTTGCAGTCAACCAAAGCACCAAGGAGGTACAAAGCACCAACATCAACAACAGCTGCGGGCAGCGCTGCAGCAGCAATTATATTTATGGCTATAACTTCCTGTTAAATCGGTCCATCATAATGAAACTTGGTATACGGGCACACAATCACAAACTGCAAAATTTAAGTTCGAAATTCCAAGAATTACGGGAGTTGTGGCAAATCACGGATTTCTGCATATTCATATAAGGCATCTTGGACTAATATTTGGTGTCCCTAGGTCTTATAGTCTCCGAGATATAGGTGATTATACGAATGAAAAATCCGGGGGAAGTGGGGGGGCAAAACGAAAAAATAAAACAAACTTGCACAGCGTACCTGCTGATCGCCTTCTCGAAATTGAAGCTGAAAAAACAGTTTTAAATGCTGAAATTGAATTGTTCACTTGTAGCGTGCCCTTATGGAGTTGCGTCAGAGCTCTGGCAAACCCAGTGCTGAATTCAGTGACATTGCTCATGCCATTATTCCATACCCTGGCTCCGATGCATATGACGCCAACAAGTGGATTTGTGATTTCGAACGCATTTGTGACTCTGTGAACGGTGATGAACGGCGAAAATATTCTTGTGCATTGATCAGTCAACAAAATATGCTGACTTTAAACAACACTTTCTTCAAACATTCAGTCAGCCGTTCTCAGAATTGGATGTTTTAAATCTTTTGAAGACAACTATGTTACATACCCCAGAAGATGTCAGTTCTTGTATACATTTTGCAAATGCAAAAGATCGCTACCCGTTCTCCCATTGGTGAAGAAGAAATAATACAAGTCATCATAGAAGGTCTTCGGGATGCATCGCCGGACATTGCTGTCCTGTACCCGGCAAAAACAATTGATGACTTGTGTTAAGTTACTCCAGGCTCGTCGGGGCGCAGCTATTCGTGATGCAGCAAAGAAGAAACCAATCGCAACTATAACCCTTACCATGTTGCGGTGCTACAATTGTTCAGCCTATGGTCAGATGTCATCAACTTGTACGGCTCCGAGAAGGATAAAAGGTTCCTGTTTCCAGTGCGGGTCAACACAACATTTAATCCAGTTGAAATTTGAGCGCGCAAACACGGTCCCAGAAGAAATATCCATATTAAATTCGGTAAGAATCAGTTTTGACATTGCCACATCGCATTCTCCTAAAACTTGCCCATCTCTTTTTGACACCGGTAGTGTTATTAGTTTGATCAGACAGTCGGAGCTCCCCGCCCAATTAGTGAATAGTAGCCTTGAGACTACTTCATACAAAGGCCTAGGAAATTTTCGTTTATGCACCTATGGACAGATTTTGGTTAAAATTACATTTCGCAACATTACAAATACTTGCTTTACGTTGTACCTAACAGTTATTTGCCGTATCCAGTTCTAGTAGGAAGAGATTTTTTAAAGCTTTTAATTTAAAATTATTTTTGCATCATGAACAAAAGTCACCAAATATCGAAATTGCGGAAAATAAAAATGGCTTTAAAGTTTCAGATAGAATTCTGCATTGCATTTTAAGTTCAATCAGATCGGATAACATGGTTGCAATTTGCAAATTATGTGAAGGTTACATTGAAAAGAATTTTAAAAACATTCCTATTGACTTGACAGAAACTGCAAATTTAAGAAGTCCTAATTTTAAAAGAGGGTAACATTTCAGTTTACATGGACGATATTGCTATAGGTACAAAAACCTTTGAAGAACACATAGTATTATTAGGAAAAGTATTGAAACGTTTATCAAAATTTGGATTGAAAGTAAAACTGAAGAAGTGTGAATTCTGCTTTTCAGAAATCGATTTTCTAGGGTTTACTATTAGTTCCAATGGCATATCTCCGAATCATGAGCACACATTGGCTAATCGACATTACTCTATACCAAAAAATGCGCGCGAAATTGGAAAGTGCCTGGGTCTGTTTTCATTTTTCAGACGCTTTATTTCGTAATTTTCAAGCATAGCTAAGCCTCTTCAAAATTTGACAAGGCCAGGTGTTCCATTCGAATTTTCAGTTGATTGTTTAAAAACCTTCAGTTTTTTATGTACAGCATTATCTTTGCAGCCAGTGTTAGCTCTATACAATCCAGAAAAACAAAATAAGCAACAAACCCTTCGTAAGCCCAAATTTTCGATCAAAATGTTTTGGAGATGTTCAATTCCATTTGCATCGATTTCACGCACAGTTTCGATGGAATTTTCGGTGATCACGAATTTTGATTGGCACACATGGTGATCGTCGTTTATGTCCTCACGACCACTTTGAAAACGTTGAAACCACTCGTGTACTCTGCTACGGGATAGGCAATCATCGCCATAAACTTGTTTCATCAATTGAAACGTTTCGGTTAAAGTTTTACCATTTTTAAAACTAAATTTAATGTTGGCTCTTTGTTTGAAGCTCATTTTCGCACCGATAACACAAACATACTGACACTTAAAACGCAATAACTTCACTTCCAATCGATGAAATGACATGAAATTCTCACTGGACTGGATTCAAAAAGTCCTGTTTTGGAATGCACCTTGTATTCACTAAGAAATTTTCGAATATATCTAGAGGGCTGAGACTTTACCATCTTAACAGAATGTAAAAAAGCACGATGGGTAGACGAAATAGAAAGCTATCATTGTACAATAAAACATCGATAAGGAAAATATATTAATCATGTTGACGCATTAAGTGGGTGCTGTGAGCCTTTGGTTACCATTCACGATAATCGTTTTGATGAACAGGTCAAACCTCTTCTAGACAGTGATAATGCAGATCTTCAATTACAAATTATGCAAAATAGAGACGAAAATATATCAAAATTGAGAGACCAACTCGAAATCAAAAATGTAAAATCTTTTGTGCTTGACGATGGACTGGTTTATAGAAAAGTCAAGGATGATTTGTTATTATTGTACGTTCATGAAAAACTTTGTCATATGGGCTCCACAAAGTGCATTGCCGAAATGAAACGACTTTATTGATTTCCATATATGGAGAGCAAAGTTAAACATTTTATAAAAAATTGATTAAAATGCATAATGTTCAGTGTACCAAAACACGCAAATTATAGCACACTTCATAATATTCCCAAGGTTGCAATACCATTTCCATCTATTTTGTCTAAAAAGAAGTACATATTTGTCATTACAGACGCATTCACCAAATTTGTTAAGTTTTTTCCGTTAATTCAACAAGCACAAAAGAGGTTAATGGATGTTTGAGTAAATACTTTGAGTATTATAGCCGACCGAGACGAATTAAAAGCGATAGAGGAAGTTGCTTTACACCTTTGGAGCTTAATGAGTTTTTGCTTAATATCAATATTGAGCATGTAAAAGTTGCGACAGCGACGCCGCAGGCCAACGGCCAAGTAGAGCGTATAAATAGAATTTTAAAAATGATGCTAGCAAAAATATCGGAACCTATCCAACAGTCTGATTGGTACAAACTATGCAGTAAAGTTGAATATGCTATAAACAACTCAGTTCAGTCAAGTACCGGCCAAACTCCAGCTATTCTATTATTTGGTGTGCAACAAAGAGGAGGCGAAAAAACAAATTCTTATCATAATTTAGACAAGACAGTCAGGAAAAAGGTGCAGAATCATATAATACTCATAAGCCTCATAGGACATTTTCATTTGGTGATTTCGTGGGGATCCGAAATGTGGACACAACAATAGGGTGCAATAAAAAATTTACTCCAAAGTCTTTATATTATTAACAAGATAGAACGCTACAGTCGAGCAAGCCCGACAGTAAAATAGCCTGTACTCTCCACAAAAAAAAAAAATTAAAAAAAAAAATAAAAAAATAAATTAAATTATTAAAAA